AAAAAAAAAAAAAAAAAAAAAAAAAATCCCCTGCTGTCCCTACAAATCCACTTTCCTCCACTTCTACCCAATCTGCATACTGTCCTTTATAGAAATAGGAAGTGCTGCCCAGCCTGTGGTGGGGCCAGGACTCCTATCTGTTCTGTGCCCACATTCTGATTACAACAATGAGGAGAGGCAGCCTTGGCGGGAGGCACCCAGGCCTAGAGCCCCACAGGAGCAGGGTTCAGAGCCCACCCTGGGCTAGCTGTGGGGTCCAAGACAATTCACTCAGCCTCAGGGCCTGGGCTGCTTCTGCTGCAAAGATTATAATAGGGCCCTAAAGCGGGCCATGGTGATATACGCCTGTAATCCCAGTGCTTGGGAGGCTGAGGCAGGAGGATTGTGAGTTCAAGGGCAGCATGAACTACATAGCGAGACACGGTCACAAAAAGCAAAAACCAAAACATTCTTTGTTTATCCGAAATTCAAGTTTAAATGGTTGCCTGGTATTTTTATTTGCTAAGTCTGGCAACTGAAATATACTGCATCAAAACAAAACAAAAACAAAACCAAAAATGAAATTGTGTAGTGCCCACTGTAAGCAGGCCAGAGGGCTGGCACGGGACTGGGACACTAGCCAGCCGCCTGGGGGAGGTGGCAGTCAGAGCCACGCCTCCAGACTCATTAGCGCCTGTAATGGGAATGTTCTGGAGAGGGTGTTAAAGTCTCCTGCCTCACTGTGTTCTGTCTCCCACCCGCCAGAGCCCGTGTCCCAGCTGCAGGCTAATATCACCCTGCATGGTGGAGGGCCGGGCCCCAGGGCGGAGATGTCCTGCTGGGCGTCCTCCGGCAGCCCACCCATCACCTACCGCCTGGTCAGCAAGGACGGACAGGTCCACATGCAGCAGAGGCCGCTGCACGGGCAGCCCGCCAACTTCTCCTTCCCGCTGCCCCCCGCGCCAGGCTGGTTCCAGTGCCAGGCTGAAAACAGCGTGGGGGTCCAGAGCAGCGCCCTCACGCTGGTGCCCCCAGGTGAGAGAGCCGCTTGGTGTCGCTCCCGGGCTGACGGGGGCTGTGCCGAGTGTCCAGGGCAGGGAAGGGGCCCAGCAGGCAGCCCTCCCTCGGGGACCTGCTACGGAAGCCTGGCCTAGCGCCCTCCGCCACCCACATAGGGGAGCTGCCCCAGGGACCTGCACTTGTGCTGGCCGGCAGTCTCGTCTCCATTGCAGCTGTGGCCTCCAGAATGCTGGGCTGGATCAGGTGGGTAGCGGGTGTCCAATGGTGGGAGCAGGGAGGCTGGCTTGTGGGGCAGGGCTGCCGCCCGGGCTGAGAGGACACAACAGCCACAACTCAAAAGGGTTTACCAAGCTGGGCGTGGTGGTGCATGCCCGTGATCCCAGCGAGTTGGAGGCCAGCCTGAATTGCATAGTGAGACCCTGTCTCAAGAGAAAAACAAGAAAAGAAAGAAAGAAAAGAAAACTTTATCAAGAGCTTCTCCTGGAGTGCACATTCCTTGGACACCTGAACCTGACCTTGCCTGTGGCTCCTGCTGCGGTGTCAGCCTACCTGGGGAGGATGTTTTCTGTCCTTTCATTATGGTCTGACATCACCATCTGGGGACCAAGGTGAGCCCGGAGCTTCCGTCCTCCAGGGATCACACTGTCAGCCTTTCCCAGGTGGTGGCAGAGGCCAGGGCTCCTCTCCAAGGCCATCATCTCCTGGACCTGAGGTAGAGTGAGCAGGGCCCCTGTGCTGTGTGAACCCAGCAGGCTGGGCCGTAGGTGATGGCAGCTGTTTCCCCTTGGGCTCTCTGCTCTGTCTGTCCCAGACTCACCTACCTGGGCCTAGTGCTCCCTTCTGTAAAAGGGGCAAAGACCTGGCTCCCTGGAGCTGTGGCTGCACCCTGTGAGCCCCTTCCTTTGGCGGGTGTGGCCTGCCTGCCTGACCAGGGATCACGGGAGGGTCGCGGAGTTGACCTGTGTCACCTCCTTCTCATCCAGGCTGTGAGCAGAAGATCCAGGCTGGCGAATCCATCCAGAGCCCCAGCCTTGCCTTGCGCCCCACAGAAGGACCCTCGGGGGATGAAGAGGAGCCTGAGGTGGGAGACAGGGGAGCCGCGGTCTGAGGACCCCAGCATTGGGCATGTGAGACAAGGGAACTGTGAAGATGCGGGTGACAGCCTTGCCCTGTGTGTAGGACTCAAGCCATGTGAGTGGCTTTCAGCTGCTGCTGCCACGAGAGCGAAAGATTGAGTAACAGATGAGGGATATGTTCACTTCCTTCCCTGCAGGAACCACTTTCTGTATGTATATAGTAGCAGCAAGTCCTATGCCTTCAACATACACAATAACATTTATTTTTTTAAAGAGCAGGTATGATGGCCATGGTGGCACACACCTGTAATCCCAGCACTAGGAAGGCTGAGGCAGGAGGATCAACGAGGTCAAGGCCACCCTGGGCAACATAGTGAGCTCAAGGCCATGCTGGCCTAAGTAGTGAGACCCTGTCCCCCCTCCCCCAAACAAAACAAATCAAACAAAAAACCAAAAAGAAAGAAAATAAAAAATATCTGGGGATTTAGCTCAGTGGCATCATGCCTGTCTTGCAAGCTCAGGGTCCTGAGTTCCATCTCCATTACCCCAAAAAAGAGCAGGGCAAATGGAGTGATGGAAGGGTAAAAAAAATTACAAACCTAATTTATTGTTATTTACTTTTTAGGTAGGGTTTTGAGTTCAAGGTAATCTTCCAGCCTCACCTTCTGATCACTGGGATTTCAGATGAGCACCAACATGCTTGACAAAACGCTAAAGTTATACTCCGGAGGCTGAGGCAGGAGGATCACCATGAGTTCAAGGTCAGCCTGGGATACATAGCAAGGCTCTGTCTCAAACAAAGAAACAAAAAACCTAAATTAAAAAAAAAAAAAGGCTGAGCCAGGGATTTTCCACTGCCTGCCTCACAAGTGCAAGGGCCTGAGTTCAATCCCCGGTACCAAAAAAAAAAAAAAAAAGGCTGAGGTAGGAAGATCATGTTTTCCTGTTTTTGAGCTCAGCTTGGGCAATTTAGTGAGATCATCTGAAAAATAAATAATAGAAAAGGGCTGGGGATGAAGCCCATTGTGGGGGGGCTCCAAGTTTAATGCCCAGTATGTACCTTCAAAATCACTAGCACAGAAAACAGAAACAAAACCCAGTCAACCGAACAACAAAAAAGAAAGTCACGGACCAGTGGCGCCCGTACCTGCCTTCCAAGCACAAGGTTCTGAGTTCAATCCCTGGTGGCGGGGAGAGAAAGGAAAAGAAAAGAAAAGGCAGGCTGATGGTGTAAGCCTGTAATCTGAGCATTCCATCATGAGTTTGGAGCCAGCCTGGACCACACAGTGAGACAGTATTTCAAATACACGGCACCCCCCCACACACACACAAAGAAAAAAAGTCCTGCCAGCCTGCCAGTCCTTGCGATTCCTGCTCTCACTGGTCTGCAGTTCCTCCCCAGGGCTCAGGGTGTGGCCCCCAAGAGCCCCTCAGGGTCCTCCCACCTGGCAGAGAATCAGCCTTGTGAGTCCCAGGGCTCTGGGCCTTTGCTGAGTGGAACTGGATTCAACTCTGTCCACTGCCGACCTGGGTTCTCCATCACTCTGTGTCAGTATTTGGAAGGGTTAAGCGGCCTAGGGTCCTCCCAGCCCAAGAAAAATGGCAGAGTGGTGGTGGGGGGGGCTTGACCCCATTGCAGGCTTAGCTGAGGGGGAAGGAAGGCAGTAGCTGGTCGTGAGGAGAATCCAGGCCTGTCCCCCCACCCCGGAGCTGGATTCGAATCCATAACCTTGAAAGTGACTTCGAATATACTTCTCCCGCTAAACTACACCCCTAGCTCTTAATTTTATTTATTTATTTAGTACCTGGGATCGAATCTCTCAGGACCTTGCGCTTTCGAGGCAGGCAGGCAGGCGGCAGAACCACAGAGCTAAATCCCCGGCCCACAGCCCTTCCTTTTTTATTTTAAGAGTTTTGCCAAGTCTCTAAGTTGCCCAGGCTGGGTTCTCACTTGAAATTCTCCCGCCACGACCTCCCAGAGTGCTGGGATCACAAGCAGGCGCGGCACGGATCCGAGTGGG